CCAGATGCCAACCTGACCCCAACCCTCCTCCTTTCTCATCCGGGCTTGGGACCGGCAACGGCAGCGTTGTTGTTGTTGTTATTATTATTATTATTATCATTGCCAACATATAAAAACTGAAGATTATATATCTTTAGATGGACTAAATTAGATGCAATTTGGAAGGTCCCTGCACTGTACATCTAGTCTTTTGTTTTTATATTAATTGTAGACATAGCAACCAAGGATTTCTTTTTCCATACCAAGCTGTTTTTCTGATTAAAATAATTACTCATTGCTTCTCGTTTTAATAGGAAAAATCTGCAGATAGCTTTATACTACCTGTCCCCTACCCTTAAAAGAAATTGTAGCTTCTGAAAGAAAATTGTCAGAGTGGGAAGGATTGGGCTGTGTCCCCCACAAACCAATGCAACTATTATTATTTTTTTTTAAAAAGTGAAGATATTTTGTTCAGAGATTTATCACAGTGATTATACCTAAGAGTCAGACAATGTCATTTCTGAGAAAGGAGAGTAATTGACAGGGCTCACTTTCATCTAAAACATGACGCTGCATATTGTACCAAAAGGAAGAATGCACACATGGCATTTTGAAAGTTTTTCTTTAGGGAAGTGCATGGTATACAAACCATGCCCAAAGCAGGATTCTCTATTACCCCCTGGCATAGACACTTAATGCCATGGTCATGCTGGAAGAAAATCAAAGTGAAATACTTTGCATTATGGAGTGGGAAAGGGACAGTTGTTTCCTGGTGACTTACGGCAGTTCCACTGGAGGAGTTCATACGGGAGGGGGGGGGTCTCATTTTTGAGGATCTGAGGCCTAGACCTAACTTCTGTTGGCTATTTCAGAAAGAGCTAACATATAAAGGCGTACAAACACTTTCAATTAAAGAGGCTATCAAGCAGTTAATAAAGCATTGAGAAGATCAGTGTCCTGTTTCTGAGTCAAAAGGTTTCTGAGACTTGATTCTGAGCCAAGATGGTGCAGTGGTTAGAGTGCAGTACTTCAGGCTACTTCAGCTGACTGTTAGCTGCAGTTCAAATCTCACTGGCTCAAGGTTGACTCAGCTTTCCATCATTCCAAGGTGGGTAAAATGAGGACTCAGATTCTTGGGGGCAATAGGCTGACACTGTAAACCGCTTAGAGAGGGCTGTAAAAGCATTATGAAGTGGTATATAAGTCTAAGTGCTATTGCTATTCCTCAGGGACTGCTAGAGAGTGTGAGAGGCTATGATATGAATGCAAAGGGTCTTGTGTAGATAATCAAGATCCATTTCAGTGTCAAGACAATCCAGTGAAACCTTATGCTAGTTGTGGTGGTTCATCAAACAAGTTATTTTTTAAAAGGCCACAGAAAAATACCCAAAGTTGTAATTTAGTTCCCAGATCTTTTTATTAAGACTTTTTTATAGTTTGACAAGAAGAGCCATGTGTACAGCACAGAAGATAATAGTTCTAAATACTGTCTGGGAATGCAGTAACAGCACTGAGGGGGAAACAGTCTAATGGTTCTTCTTTTTCCTTAAATACATCCACAAGCTACTTTCACCTTGCAACATCTTGTGGCTTCAAATTCCCAAATAGTTCCATGAATATCATATACAGAAAGGGAATTTCCTACTGAAGAAGCCAGGAATACACACAGTAGAGTCTAAAACAAAATACTATCTGCAGACAATGCTAGGTTGGCACTTACATGTTGAAGCATCTGCAGGAGTCTGCTGGAAGGTATCTAAGATTAGCAGTGTCCATCTGTAATGAAGTCCAGGAACCATTCACATTTCTACAGTGAAATAGCAGCAATGCTGGCCAACAAGTTGGTCCACACAATAAAACGCTGATTGTGAAACATTCCAAATGCTTGTACTGGTTGACAGCCCATCTTGACATTGATAGTATGGAGTAACCCTGGATGTCTCAGATACATTTTTATATATTGAATACACAGCAAGCAGGATTACAGCAAATTGATAGGTCCTTCCAGCTTACATTCTCCTTGTATACATTTTTAACAGGAACATTTCTTGAGCCAATCCCAGCTTCTAGTGACAGTCACTGAGGATTCAAGAGTCCTGAAAAAACAAGCATTTTCAGATTCTTTCACAGTAAAAGATTACAAGCAGGCAATAAAATAAACTCCAACCAATCCCCCTTTTCAGTTCTGTCTCATGACCAAAGTTTGCCTTGGGGTTAGTTTTGATTGAATAGATCTGGCATTGACACACTATTAAATACCTTTTGCTTCCCATTGACTACTGGGACTTGAATGGATTTAAAATAAACTTTTTTGTAGCGACATGAAATGAGAAAAATGGGATCTTTCTTCTGGAGGTTCCAAAGCTGCTTCAAAGGGAAGAGCAGTGATGATTCATTCAGCTTTCTAAAGGCCTCCAAAAATGCCCAGATGCACATAGGGTGGCTTGGCTGACCGAGAAGAATAAGACAAAAGCACAGTGGGAACGGAGAGTACTATATCTGACTAACTACACAAAGAGCATTTTCATTTTCAGAAGGATCATCAGATCACCACAAGGTAGCATCTGCTCACAAAAAGAAAGGTGACCCCCCCCTCCGCCACATACACACACATTTTTGACTGTACAAATATTGTTCTGGAACACATCTGTTTCTGGCTAACACATTAAATCTACATAGTGGACCATTTACTTTACCATTAGTTTAATAAAAGTTTAGGACATTGGAAATTAAATCAAAGATATAGTAAGAATGCCATTCTTGAGGCTTAATAAAGAGGGAATAATTAATTCACGCAATCTCAAAACATTTCAGTATCAATGAAGTAAAAAACAGCAAAAAGACTTATAACACAGCCTTCAGCAATTTAGGTTACAGAAATACCAAATACAGCCAGGATCAAACAGGTCAGGATCAAACTCCTGGCAGTGGGCAGAGTTAGCCTGCAATACTGTATTCTAACCACTGCATCACCAGGACTAATTGGTCCCTGAAAATATCCTTTCCTTTTGGAGAAACTGTAACCCAAGCTACTCAGGTATTTCTCAACTTATGACCACAATTGGGGCAAGAATTTCCATTGCTAAGCAGGATGGTTGTGAGTTGCACCTGATTTTATGGCCTTTTTGCCATGGTTATTAAACAAATTGCTGCAGCTACTAAGTCAATCATGCGGTTATTAAGTGTATCTGGATTTCACCATTGCTTTTACTTGTCAGGAGCCAGCTGGAAAGCTTGCAAATGATGATGTAGCACCCTGGGATGCTACAACGATCATAAATACATATCAGTTGCCAAGTGCCTGAATTCTGAACCTGTGACTATGAGATGTGCGATTGTCATAAATGTGAGGAGCTGTCATAAGTCATTTTTTACCAGTGCCGTTGTAACTTTCAGCAATCACTGAACAAATAGCTGTAATATGAGGATATATATTTATACTCAGTTTGGAAAAGGAGAAAGCAGATTATTCTTATATTACCAGTTAAAAAATGGGTGTAGACAAAGGGAGTGGCATGTCTAAGTTTAGGAAAATCCGGCTGATAATTAAATAAGTGCATTTTTAATTCATAGCTTTAATTGGCAGGCCAGCCTCTTCTTTGAACTTAAAAGGAACACATTAACAGATAACTCTTTTCCCATCCATTGCTGATCTCTTATGAGAAGGCAATGCTCTGAACTGAAATTTTTCCTGATGGAACAATATGCCTCAAGGGGCCGAATGAATTCTCCTCTCTCCAGAACTAGAGTTCCTTCTTGGGAAAAAATTTAGTGGTTAAACTTCGTCCTGTTAAACAACTGCTGTTAGACTTGAGGAAAAAAATAGCAAAGCCAGTTGAAGGGGGACTGAAACCTCCAGAGTTTCATATTATTGCACAGTATCTTCAGTAGTTTTATTTATTATAGCCACATTATGATTAGAAATCACTCCAACTGATTCACATATGCATGACAACACTACATCACTCAATGATCAATCACTCTGGCTTGCAGCTGGAAGTGCCTCAGTTAAAAAGCACATTAGTTCTAAGGAGAAGTGTTTAATCTCTAATAGCTGTTTTACTTATACAAGGCACAAGCTAAGTACAGCTGTCTTGAGCTGACTGGAACATCTCTATGAAAGAGAAAATCTATGCAACTCTAATCTTGCTTCTAAAATCTCACACTGCTAATAAAGGGCAAATCTTGGGGGCGGGGAGGGGGGATTAATGATGAAATAGGTATATCAGGTCATTTCCCAGTAATCTGAACTTTCAGTTCCTGGCAATCAAAGCACTAACCTAGCCTCTAAGACAGAGGTGGGTTCTAGCCGCATTACTGCCGATTTGTTTGTGTGCATGCGCAATTCAATAGAAATTTTTCTGTGCATGCACAGAATTAAAAAACAAGATGGCAGAGACGACTGCGGCAACCAGGGAACCGGGCCGAACTGGTAGGAACACTGATCTGAGATCATAAAATTTCAAGTTAGTAGAGCAGCTTGTAATAGATGGATGGGGGGCGGGGAAAGTGTATAAAACAGGAATAGTCAACCAGTTCAAAATACATAGAAGACCCTTGTCAAACTTCAAAGTGTGCCCTGCTGTTGCAGCCATCTTTTCGTTTCTCAGCTTGCCACAGACTAATGGGGGAGGTTTGGAATGCCAGCCCAGACAACAAGAAACCATCCCATGGGAACCAAGGCCATCTCAACAGATGTTTGGCAAGGGCCTGAAGGAGTTGCCATAATGACACCAGAACACCTATTTGGACAATATGACCTGGTTGAGGGAGGGGGGGAAAGAAGTCATTGTTTAATTAGGTGAAAACCGCAGGAACTAGTAAAGAGTTGATTTTGCTTCATGCATGCTGAAATGATGTACTCAATAAAATTATGCTTAAAGAGATCTGATTGTCTCTAGAGCTGGCATGGTTGGGTTCGTCAGTCGGAACCTTGACAATCCTATCTGGCATAAAAACAATATGCTATTTAGCCATAGCAGTACAGTGTACTTTTTATACACAACGGAGTACACAAATGCTTCATACATACCCACAGACAGGCAAAGTAAGTGCTATAAAAGTGAACCAGCCCTCAGTTCCTTTCATCATGTCCATGTTTTACTGAAAGAAGAGATCTAGGAACAATTAAATTCAAATAATCTACTATGAGAATAAGAACCAAAAGTAACTTAGTTATATTTGCCTTGATTTTAAAGTTTCACATAGAATTGCTGCAGGGTGAGCTTTGCAAAATTCAAGTGGCTGATACATGGGGTCACTGCACTCAGTAAGTTGTTTTTATATTGCATGAGATCTTGGTCTACATAGTTCATTATCTGCACAGACCACTGGCAGCAACTTGGAATGCCAGGCTGGAGTCTTTCCAATCTTATTTGAATCTGTTGGGATTTTTGACACGTATCAACCAGGTGCCTCTCTCTAAACTATTACTTTATTAGAGAGACAGAAGAGGGAGTGGAGATTGCAAGAATAAGGAACTTGCAACCTGAACCTCTGCATGTCCCTTCAAAAATAGGTTCTGCAGGATATTCCCTAATAAGTATACAGGAAATTGTATTTTTCAGAATACACTCCCCAAACTGAACTGATTTCTATTTTAGTCCTGAACCTTTAAAAAAAATACCTAATAACTGTTACACAAAATTAATACATTCCATTCAGACCGAGGCATTTGCACACACATAACTTTGTAGCCTAATCTTTTGGATATATTTGTTTATTTGCTGAAATGGGTAAAACTAGATGAACATTTGATTGACCGTTCTGTGTTTCCATAAATGCTGCAGGAATTAAAGGTTTGCTTTTTCTGCTAAGACTGTACTTGATCCAAATATCTATTTATTACAATAAGCTAACACTAACTGATGTCCTGTTTCTAACCACAAAAAAATCTTACTGGCAAGGCAGAAAAACCACTAGCACAGATGATTTCTGGGCAGCTCAATTATTGCTATGCTATTTAAGCAAAGTGGCTAGGTAACACTCTCGTAATTTCCATTTTCTCCACTCTCCTTGTGCCCCTCTGAGAAAACAAAGGTATTTAAGAATTAAATATTCATATGCAAACTATTTCACGTGTCCATTGTGTCTTTGGACAAAGTAACTTGAACCAACGGTATATAGAAAGGCTGCATTCTATGTTTTAAAAGGATCAGATTAATTTTCCCGGAGCCTGGTCTGTCAGTGTCACTCATGTCAAAGAAGGCTCCATGATTAGAATCAATGTATTTCTAATTGATAAATATGATGGAGACACAGCAGCCAAGCTATTTTAGGATGTGCTGCTGATATGTTTGCTGTAATATATATTGTGGTTGAATAATTTGCTGAAAACATGTTGCCCGGGATCAGAAATGCAAAAATATTGTCTATCGGCATTCCCTCTGTAGACCCACCAGAATGACCTATCAAGTTGAAAATGTTGTATCTTTTTGCATATTGTAGAACTTATGGAGGGCTAAGGAATGCTCACTTTGAAACATAGCCTTCAACATGCTAGGCAAAGCATGCTGGGGCCTCTCAAATCAACAGATGTTCTGCATCTCCTCACTAGACCAGCATGTCAATTCATATCTGCCTTGCTTTCCTACTAGAGATCTACATAAAACAGTGTGTATGTATATGGGTACAATTGATTTATACAGTGTCTTTGCACCATTCCAAAAATCAACTCTGTGCCTGTACAATCCCACACAGTCATCTGTGTCGCTGGCTCAGCTACAGCTAAAATTTCCATTTGTAATGTTTTAATTCTATAGGTAGCCTATTTTTCTGTTGCTGGGAAGATTTGTGTCACCACATCTCAAAGCAGTCATCATTTTACAGCTCCTTCCTTGTGCAACTTCTATATTCTGTTCAAGATACTTCTCTGTAAGCATTCCAGACAATTACTCTCAACCCCACTCCAGCTAATCTAGTAAATTTGCAAGAATGCTTAGAAATAATGGAGAAAGCTCTGGTTGCAGAAACACCAACATGCTAGTTTCATCGTGGTAATTTGCAGGAGGCTTTTCAGAGCAACGGAGGAATAGCATCTTTGCAGCTAAGAATTTTTCCTTAAGGTCAACCGTTCAGTATTTATTTGTAAACAATCAAATGTACAGAACACCAGCTGAAAATACAGCTGGATGCTGGCACCATCAAGTTAACTCGTTTCTCTTTTGTGTGGAGTAGAGATGAAAACATGTTTGTTGATCCAGGACTGATGATAGCTCAGGGAATGGGACATTGTTCATATTTTTGTACCATCCTTTTGATTTCCTAGAGATGAACTCTGAATGACTCAAGGTGTTCTTGTGCCTTCAGAATGTGAAGAGAACAGAAATAAAAATGATAACAAGTTATCTTTTGAATTGTTTTGGGGAAACTGGAAAACAAAAATAGTAGTAGTGTGGAAATATTCATTCATATAGTTTTGCTCTCCTTCCTATTTAAGAAGGAAATACCAGAATGAATTGAGATCTGAGTTCAAGAGCTTTAGGATTCAACAACCATTAGCTTTCCAACAGTGCTCTCTTCACTTATCAGGGATGGTCTTACCACTATTAAAAAAGGTTCTGCTAAGCTTTCTGGTGTCTTACTCCCTAATTCTAGTTTTTGTTCTCAAAGTAGCAGGGATATTAGTCATGCTTTGTACACTAAGTTGCATAATGTCAAGTCTAAAAATTGCATAGTGGGGCTACATGTCACTTCTAATAAACACTGGCTCAAACAATATTGTCCTTGCTGATTAAAAATACTTGGTGCACGTTAAGTTTCTTAATGTCAGAAGGGCAAAGACTCATCCTTGCTTTAAGCAGAGATCAGATTCACACCCAACTTCTGCCTGGTACCTGATACCAAGGAAGTATCAACCTATGTGTACCTATGTGTAGCCTAATTATTCCCCCACCGACCATCATAGCAATAGCAATAGCAGTAGACTTATATACCGCTTCATAGGGCTTTCAGCCCTCTCTAAGCGGTTTACAGAGAGTCAGCATATTGCCCCCAACAAT